ACTGGGCTATTGTCAAGCGGAACCTAAAGAAGACCAAAAAAACTGCTAAGGGCGAGCAGCAGTTCAAGGCAAACTGGCTTTCTGCGGCGAAGAACGTGGACAAGGTGGCTGTACAAAATCTGATGGCAGGGGTCAAGCGTAAGGCCCGGCAATTCGGATTTGGAAAAGCGGAAGCCTAACTGAATATTTTTCCTGAATTTTATACTAATTGAACTTGAAAAAGAAATTTAATTTGATTTTTTAAATAAACGATTTCACCGATTTACACGCGTTTTCCCTTGACCAAATTTTGACCGTATCACCCTTTAATACTCGAGTTGTAGACGAAATACGCGTATCTGTCAAGGATAAGCAAATAAAGTAGTGGAATTAAATGGAAAATACTAATCCTTCTCTCTCTCTCTCATTATGTTTCAGATGCTAAGTTGTGTTACGATTGTTGATCCCAATCATATGGATCGGGATACACATAAACATTGTTTTCAAAACGCAAGAAGATTGTGATTAAATCATTTGTCAGAGGTATGTCCAAAACTGGTACACTTACCCTACGACCAAACAGTAAAGGAATCGATTTACGGTTATAAACTAAAATTTGAAGCTACTGTGAAAAAAATGCATGTATTTGAAAGTTAAGTGGGTACTCTAAGCCCACTTTACTCTACGGAATTTTCATTGAACACAAGTCCTATCTATAAATTTGTAATTTATTGCTAACACATAGGGGAAATGGATGTTATGTCGGCCTAAATGCCCCTAATTTAGGCCCTTACATAAATTCAGCAATCGACTAAATTTTCAATAGCGACCATAATATCCATATCCCAATGACGCGTTCATCTAGATAAAATTGATAAATAGCAGATTTTTAGCGATGGGCCCAATCTTAGATCCATAGGCCAACAATAGAGCCATTTCCTCTATAACATACAATGAGATTTTGGAAAAAAAAAAACGTTATTGCAAATGACATGTTTCACATAATTCCAAATGAATTAAAAATTCAAGTTAATGTTATTCCCATCGCATTGCTCAATGAATTCAACCACCGCATTGCAATGTCTGACCCATCCAAAGAGTGCACGAGTGTACCTAATGTAGTGTTTAGTTGGTGTAGTTACTTGTTAAATTAAACACTTGTATGGGTAATCGTCGAACTCCGACGCCAGACGGAACTCCGACTCTCTCTATCTCTCTTGAGAACGCTCCAAAATCTCTCTCACTCTCACCGTTGCCAACGAAACCGCGATTGATGATTCTCTCTCGCACAGCCACACTCACACATTCACATCCGCCAGTCGGCGTTGAACCGTTTTCTCTTCATTCTCTTGCTCAGCAGCCAGCAGAACCTGAAACTGAAAAATCCACCACGATCGCCGACGAACGGAGTCCAACAACAACTCCAATTAAATTCGTCCGCAAGCAAGACAAAAGCATCAGGCTCAACACCACAAAAAGAACGACGACCAAAATGTTGCTGCTGGCTGCCGCTTCTTCTTCGCGGTTCTATCTTTGCCTCTCGCTTCCTCTTCCTCTCACGCACACTGGCCAGCCGGACGGAGCAGATGAGCACCCTCGCGCCTTCTACAAAATCTTTCCTGTACCATTGCACAGAATTTGATCAATTAAATTATTCGGTAGAACTTTTCCCCCATTTCCCATCGATGAAACGTAGTCCAAAAGCCTGCAGGAGCGGTCACTTTTTGTCCAAAAGAAAAAGGCTAAAAAATTGCATTCCTCCCTCCTTTTCGGTCCTTCTTTGTGCATCTCTCACACCACTGCTACTTGCAAGGACAATAAAGAGCACACACGCAAGTACTATTGCTGTACGTACCTTTCGAACCGGCTTTAGCACGAATTTACAGGATCAGTCACACTTAATTTTGCACAGATTTTCACACAAACCCAACGTCTCCGACAAAAAATTTCACAAATAAAAGCTGTAAATTGCTCACTTTACGGTAAATAACGCGACAAACACTCTTCCAAAAGTATACACGCGAAGAAACTTCAACGGCGCGGTTTCAACAGACCATCAGAGGATCAATCGAATAACACCAAAAAAAAATTGGATACTAGCTCAGTGCTCGCTCACTGTCTGGTGGCTGAACGGGAGAGGGAGAGAGAGAAAAACGAACGCGAGAACGACAAAAGCGTCGCCGTGCTAACTGACGCAAGAAATAGACGCGCTGCGGCGCTTTCTACAAATCTCGCGCATTATTTGAAAAGGATTCATTGCCTTATTCCTTGTTCAGAATAACGAGGCTGAATTTATCTCGGAATTTATATTATAGTCCGTTCAGACTACAGAGTTATAACATGTTATAGCGATATCTTGATGATGGTTTCTGTGTTGCAATTATTTGACAACCGTTATAACATGTTATAACTCTCCAGTCTGGACACTGTTTAAGACTAGAAGGTCCCGAAATAACGTGCTCAACTTTTTGGCTCAGCTCTGGTACTCTCTTCGGTCCCAAGCTAATCGATTTACCCCTCGAAACATAGGAAAAACCAATAACCCCTCATTTTATCTGTCAAACTTTCATAGCGAATCAAAACAAACATTTCGTAGTACTAGAATTTCAACTAGAATAGGGTACGTTAATCGTTTGCTTGGGACCAATAGGCTACTAAAGTGGTGAGCCAATTTAAAATCGTTAGTTTCGTATTGATTGTTGATGTCGCTCTTTACCCAATTCAGTCTCTTTAGTTCAGACTATAGAGTTCCCGACAAACGATTTCGTTAAATTTCTTTAATTTTCGATATATCGTTGACATTTATATAGAAAATCGATAACGATCGTCACCATTTCACGAAGAAATTTTAAGATAGGGAAGAGCGCTACTTCGTCGTAATCGCCCATTTCCGTTCTATTGATCAGAAAAGATCAATAATATCAATGTTGGTTGGAAATGCTAACATGAAGCTTTAGTGTGATGATTTATTAGCTAGAGAATGATCTTTAGAAGAGGGTAGGTGGATAGTTCCGTTAGAGTACGGCAGTATGAAAATTGAATAGAATTTGAAAATGAGCGAAGGGCCATTAATGCGACAGTTTTTCAAGATAGACGCACATTTTTGCCTAACCCGTACGATGTACGCGGGGACTTGAAGTATGTCTCCAAGTCCACAGGCAAAAATGTGCGTCCCTCTTGTTGCTCATAAACTGACTGTGGCTGTGGAATAGTTCTAGCGACGTTTTTCATCACTACCTAAAGCCCCACGTTGCGAGAGCATTTCGAGACATACTTCAAGTCCCCGCGTACATCGTACGGGTTAGGCAAATTTTACTCATCACTGAGTTCCTGCATTTTTGGCGATTATGAGTGAACTAAACTCAAATTTGTGTCGTTCTCATTCGCCGTGTGGCAACGTCAACCAACAGATATTGACTCCGGTATCAATCAGGTAAAATTCCTTCAGTTTTTTATGATTTATCCTAATTTTATTGAAAAAAATATTGCAGGAATACTTCTGGAGCAAGCTAGAAGCTGCTTATACGGGGTGATAAATCCCAATTTAAAGAAAATTTTGAAGATCCAGAACCTATGCAGTCAATCACTGTGCAGACTGACAGCTGCAAGTATTGAGCATATTACAGTTGGTATGCGGGAAATGGATCCGAATTTGAAAGAAGAGGCGATTAACGGTGGTATTCCGATAAGCGACGTCTACGGCATGCGATATGCAAAAAGCCCTGATAAGTTCAAGTTCTTAGAAGGGGATGTGATGTGCTAATTAGATTTAGCTGAAATAATCCGAACCCAAGGAGTTCAAAAGTTCATTCGTCCAAACAAAAAACAGAGTAAAAGCAATCAGCGAACTAGGTTCAACCATCAAAATATCCCATTCGATAGCGACGATGTTAAGACCCCGGCCGAGATGTACAGCAGTATGCTGCATCAGAAAATCCTGTTACACTTTGTTTCTCAGTAAGTAATTATAGAAAAATTTTATAAGTCCCGTGATGCACCCTTATTCCAAACAGCTCCGTACGCGCAAATCAAAACACGGAATATCAAACCAATTTGACATCAGTGATTTAGTTTTACGTACACCACCACCCCACAATTGAGTTGTTTAGGGGTATTGAGGTAAATACGTATTCGTTATTTGCATTAAAAATGGAACCAAAATCCAAAGTTTCAACAATTGGGTTGTTTAACTTCAAAAAATAAACCGATTTTTATACATCATCTGATAGAGCTTCGTTTTCTGAGCACAACGGTATTTTTATCGATCTCGTAGACATTCATCTCGATTTTTTAAATCAAGATTTAAATTTTTCATGGTTGACACTACATCCATATAGAGGTAACTCTAAAACCAGAAGGTCCCGAAGAAACGAGCTCACCTCTGGTACTATCTTCGGTCCCAAGCTAATCGATTCACCCTTCGAAACATAGGAATATCCACAAACCCCTCATTTTATCTGTCAAACTTTCATGGCGAATCAAAACAAGTACTGGAATTTATACTAGAATGGGGTACGTTAGTCGATTTGCTTGGGACCAATAGGCTAGTCAAGTAGTGAGCCAAATTAAAATCGTTAGTTTCGTATTGATTGTTGCTAAATCTATTCGGTGACAGCTCGCTCCCCCATAAAAAGTCCCACCAAGGGGCGCTAAGTTGGTGATTTTCGCTAATGTAATCGTAGTTATTTAAAATAGTTCCACCACACAACATCAAATAAAAATGTTTCTGTATGACAAACACGTTCAGACATAAATGAGAATATGGGTGTATATCTTCACTGTAACAACTACGGGTAATCATCGAAAGCACCTGCATTTTACTCAGGCACTTTTGAGCAAACTGCAATCACTCTCTCATACTCGAAATGTGCCACGACCAAATTGGCACAACGATGCCCCATACGCTATCTGACCAAAGCGCAGGGAAAATTGTTTTCCTGGAAATTTAATCCTCAAACATGTTTAAAAGACGGGCCAAGTGGACTGTGATATAAAAAATAAAAGTAAATCTCTCCATTGCGTTGTTTGTAATACTAATGGAAGTTGCTTCATTTCTATTTGTTCGGTTGCGCGAAACGAGAAAATCGCATGTTCGATTTAAAATCACTGTAGGTAGCTCTTTTCGATAAGGCCTATTATGCGCGTTGTAACATCATGTCCAAAAGTTTATTAAACCTTAACGTGTAAGAGGTTCCATTTTGTTTCAAATATTTTACGCGTGTACATTTTATCGTTGAACGAATTCACATTCACTGTCGCAGTTCGTCGCTTTTGGGGACTAGATAAGTGTTTTTCTTTTGTTCCTCGATGATCATAAAATTCTGCTATGTTTAACTTTTCTTGTTCTAATCTTGTGTCTAGATCAATTGTAGTGTTAGAAAATTGGATATAAAGTGAGAAATTTGAGAAAAGATTGGGAATTCATCGGATATTGAAGATTGTGCTATTTGAGTTAGAAATGTGTTGTAACTTTTCGGTAATCCAGCAAATGTGCATTATCTAGTATTTACTTTGAGATGGAACGTAAAACTTAAACCAAAGAAGATCGTAATCACATAGAGCCTAATCTAGGATTTTAACACTGTCGTGGCCTTAGCCAAATAGTGGAGGATGAAGTTTTATAGTGCGCTACTACTATAGAAAAAAAAATACAAAAACAAATTCACACTAAGATGAGAAACTCGACATTCTAAGAAATACCGGATGGAATGTTTTCGTGATGTTGCAGTAAGAAATTAAATATTCTACCGAATGGGCATTTCAGATTTCCGTATAAAAATCCGGTCGCCCTATCCGCAGCAGCTTGAACACATTCGGCAGCAAATATTGCGTATTGAATCCAATCATTGCGCACGCGAAGAACTTGTATGACAGCTCAACGATAATTTTGTTCTTATTCTGTAGCGTATTCTCCGATTGGCGCAGCTCGTTCTTATCACGCCCGAGCAGGAAGCACACAAACGCATAGGAAATAGACTTTCCGAAGGCACGCGTGGCCACGATGCAACAGAGACCCAAAACGGTTCGCAGCAGCAGCATTCCCATCATAGCGTACGATGGCCAGATGACTTCGTACGGAGGTGGATTGGCCGGTGGTCTGAAATCACCGAGCATGTAGTGCAACCAGGCACCGATTTCAAGTCCCGCGCACACGCTAACGGTTAGGGCAGTGTCGCCTCTGGTGGAAGAGAAGAATGATTTAGAAGGCGACCCTAAAACAGAATATTTGCGGACATTACCTTGTTGGCGTCCAAATTCCGGAATCGGGATAAAACACAATCAGCAAAATGGAAACGGCCAACACCGGTATGGGCGACCAGCTACTAGTGACTATGATGTAATCCAACTTGTCTACAATCGGGATCAGCGGAATCATCAATGTCACAACCAATACCAAACCGGCTAAGATGTCCTGAAACATTGGAAACGATTCAACTCAAGAAATTTTAATAATTCGTACAATTATATGCGCCTACCAGCACACTGTGCATTCCCAGATAGACCCTGCTGAAACAGATGACTGCACACCAGATCACCGCGAATGCCAGACCCGCTGGAAGAGAGAAGATATATCTGCAAAAAAACAGTTAGTACTGAACAGGAATTCTATCGTGCTTACCCACCTATCATAAGTGTAGATCAGAACCGAAAAAGGGATCGCCACCGAGACCATTGCATGCGTTGAAGGCATTCCATATTCCAGGCCCCACTTCTTCTGCAATCTGCTTACGGGGAAACCCGGCCTAGGCCATCTAATTATATCCTTCAAACTTTGACCTGCAAATAAAACTGTCTTTAGTATCATTTTTGAACATCATCTCAACTTCCCCTATCCTCGACATACCCACATACATAACCGCCGACCAAACCATGATAACTCTTCGCCCCACAGCGCTATCGATATTCCAGAACCAGAAGGGTATGAACGTTGCGTAGAAGATCTCATCCCCCAGTTCCGTCCCGATGATGAACAAATAATACCAGAACTTGTTAGTCACTCGGTAAGGCTTATCTTTGCCAATCTGGTGCTTATCGCAACCATTTCCGCTGCTGGTGCTGCTGCTGCTACTGCTATCCTCATCCAAACTGGATAAATCGCCATTGGCGACCTGCTGCTGACCTCTCTTTGCCAGCCCAGCCTTGCCGTTTACTTCGCCGTCCCTCACAGAAGAATCGATTTTCCCATCTCGATGCGCATGCAGATACTCAATACCGAAAAACTCCTGAACTTTGACCACCAGTT